TCCTGAATCCTCCACAAATCATTCATAAATGAAGGACTCAACAGGGTTAATGTTTGGGTAAAATTCTGCCCACTGGAGAGCCCTACCTCTATAAGCAAACCCATTAAGTGGTGCATTTAAAAGGGATCATTTGTAAAGGAGCAAGATGTTTAGCTAAACAACAGTAACCATTGCAACAGAAACCATCCACAACAACCCAAATGACGTCCAAAGGGCTCAGGAGATGGAACAGATGGAGAGCAGGACCAGGGGTTCAGCTTCAACCATCTGAGGCATGCCTGTGGGTTCAGTGGAGCAAGGCTGTGTCAGCTCATGATTTGAATTGCACTGTTCATTTCATTTATTTCGCCATTTCTTTTTGTTCTTTTGAGCCATTGGTGGATTACTTGTAGCCACTCAGCTGACAAGCTCTGAATCTGCTCATGTTGGCCAACCAACAACACGACATGGGACACAGCTGCACGCATGGCCAAATCGTTCTGTCATAATGAATTGGAAAAAAGACTCAAAAGGAGGACTCTTACGTCAGTTTACAGATCATTATTACAGCAACAATACCAAATAATTAATCAAAGTAACCGAATTGGGTAAGTGCTGCTCTATAGGAATGGGTCAAAGTTTCCTGTCAGAGAGGGAAACAGGAGTTAGCTGAGATCCACGTGAGTATGAAGTACTTGGTTATCTTTAGCAGCTGACAGCAGGGGAGTATACAGACAGCCAATGGAGTCCAGAGGGAAAGAGAAGGAAATGAATAAGCAGAAGAGAGCAGGCAGGCAAGTGAGCAAAGCAAATCTTCCTCCAAACAGAAGGTGACTGGCTGGAGTTAAGCAGGTAAGTGTGGCAGAGAGAAACTAGAGATCTTTCAGGCTGGGGAAGATGGAGGACTCTGTCTTCAGCTGTTGTTCTTCAAACTGGGATGGAGATAAAAGAGCATGGTCTCAGACTGAACACACACAAGGAAAACTGGGTTTACAGCAGAGGGCCCGATCACCACCATAGGCAATAATGATCTGGCAAGAAATATGAGCACCACCTGGTCCTTAAATATGGCATAGCTTGAGTTTGACCGCTAAAGAGCCCAACACCCCACTACTCACAGGGCAGGCCATCCAAAGAACCTGACCCATTACTACACCTGAGAGTAGTAATTGAGTAAGGAGATAAAGGGAGAGAAGAAAGAGAACTGGGGAAACTGAAAACCTCCCATTACAGAGCACAATAACCTTAACGCAATGATTTATTGACATATCTATATATGTATATAGGAAGCGAAGACCCAAAGAACAAAGAACTCTCTCTCTCTATATATATATATATATATATGTATAGTCAGTAAAATATATAGTAGAAGAAGCATGGATGAAAGCTTTGTTTAAAGCTGTGGAGATCTAATGAGACAGTAAAACTGTAATCAGTTTGCCATGGATACAGTGATTGTTAAAAAAACGGAGGATTGGGTTTTTTCCCGTTTTAGTTGGCTTTTTTGTTGGAGGAAAAAATTACTCTCAATCTACAAATGGAAGGGAAATTTCTGAGTAAAAATTGCAGCTGCTTGCAGTCAGATTCAGTTTATAGAAGTACAAAATACAATTATGTCAATAAAGCATGTGAAATGGGTAGGCCGTATAAAGTTGGGTAAAAACAAAATCTTTGTCAAGTCAGTTCACGTTTGTAAAATTATTTAAATACATATATGGCTGAGCAATGAGAACTTTACAGGTCCTAAATATTAGGATAGCATTTCTGGGCACCCACTTTATTTTAGATGAATAATTTAACAACAAATCTGCTTAATAAAGTAAAAGAGCAATACGTTTCTTGTCTAATGGAAGGAATAACTCTATTGCCTTGGAGTGCAATTGTTCAGTACTTCTGTGATGCTCTGCAGTATCAGGCAGCCAAACAGTACGGTCTACTACCACAACAACAACAACTGACAGGGACTCTTGTTGTCACAGCACAAAATTATTGTTTAAAGTTGTTTAACATTCCACTATGTGCTGTTTTGGTGGCTGTAACTCAGGTGGTAGAGCAGGTCACCTACTAACTGGACGGTCCAGTTAAGATGGACCGTCCCAGTCTGCTCTAGTCTGCATGCCAAGTACAAGACGCTGCAAGATGCTAACCCCATGCAGCTCTCCGACGCATCGATCGGAGTGTGGATGTTAGTTAGGAAGCACCCAGAAACAGTAGAAAAAAAGTGCTGTGTCAATGTGCAAGTTGTGTAAAGTGCTGAAGATAGAGTAGAAAAGCACTATATAAGAACCAGTCTATGTACCATGTGTCATAAAATATATATTTAAGACGTGTTTTTTTCACAGTGACATGTTAGCATGCAAGCACAGCAAGAAGGTCCTGAGTTTAATTTCCATGTTTATGTGGTTTCCAAAAGTTGATTCTGTTCATCTGGACGTAGCGTTTTCTGGGAGAAACGTTTCGTCACTCATCCAAGTGACTTCTTCAGTCTCAGCTGACTGCAGGTTTCCCCAACCTTATAAACAGTACATTTGCATAATGACTGAAACCAGCCCATTGTGAGGTCAGGAATTCAGGAAGGTCAGGAATTCCCAGTTAATTATGATTAAGGAACTGACCTCACAGCCCATTGTTCCTTCAGTGGGCTGGTTTCAGTCATTATGCAAATGTACTGTTTATAAGATTTGGGGAAACCTGCAGTCAGCTGAGACTGAAGAAGTCACTTGGATGAGTGACGAAACGTTTCTCCCAGAAAACGCTACGTCCAGATGAACAGAATCAACTTTTGGAGATTTATTTTCTTGGATGATTGAGAATGCATCAAGAAATGTTTGTGTGGGTTCACCCCGGGTACTCTGGCTTCCTCCCACAGTCCAAAGACATGCAGTTATTGAGGATAGGTTAATTGGAAGCACTAAACTGCCCATAGGTGTGAATGTGAGCGTGAATGGTTGTCTTTGTCTATGTGTTGGCCCTGCGACAGACTGGCGACCTGTCCAGCGTGTACCCTGCCTCTCGCCCTAAGACATCTAGGATAGGCTCCAGCAACCCTGAGAAGCAGAAGCAAATGGATGGATGGTTCTTTGCTTCTCATTACCAGTAGAAAAAGTTGCTTTTTGGTGCAGCACATAAGGAAAGTGCTTCATATGCTTTTTTATGTCTAAAAATATCAAACAGAGTGGTTTATTTCATCATATCAGAATGTTAAACATGACACTTTAAAGACAGGCTACAAGTGGAAGGACGAAGCAGAATGATGAACGAGAGGAGAGTGATCAAGTTAGACTGCTGCGTGATTATGAAAGACACAGCTAGAGAGAGGCTCATAGATAAAGCCTGGCTGCTCCTGAGGGAGAGCAGGTGTTAGTGTTATAATTGGAGAAGATGGACCGTCCATATGCTCTCTCTGCTTTATTGGAGCGCTTTAAAGCACCACTCTAATTTCATTGGCCCAGCGCAAGTGACCATAATCTCAACCGCAGGCTTGATTTGAGTGCTCATAAGAGTAGTGACTGACATCCTATAGTCTGAAAACTTTAGTATGTGTGTATGTGTGTGTGTGTGTGTGAAATAGGAGAAGGAAATCACATTATCCTGTAGTGAGCTGAAGGGCTAGTTCATCTACCTTCCCCGCACACGCTTACCTTTATGTGAGTGTCAGAGTGTGCATTCCTGTGCTTGTGCCCCAATTTGCGTGTTAAACCTCGAAGGCTGCATAAGCTGCATATCATTAATGCCCGAGGCTCACAGCTACACCAATAACGCGGTGCTGGAGGTAGATTTTGCCTCAGCAACACGTGCGATGAATCAACTCATCGCCCACTGAGAATGTCACAGGTCCTGGACGACGCATGTGCGCGCGTGTGTGTCAGTGCGCTTGCAGGCATGCATATGCTGTCATCTATGATGAATTAACTCATTTTGTTCAATTTGATTTTCAGTGATTTTCAGCTGAAGACTCTGAGCAGTTGCTTCTTAATGGGCATTTCTGCTGCTCTCATAATCAGACTCCAAATCGTCTTGAACAGCATGCGATGGAGCACTTACTAATTTCCAAGTGAAACAATGGTGTTCCACTGTCTCTGCTACATATTTGACAAGTCTTTCTAGCAGACTGGTTTCTCCTGACGAATCTTAAATACATTATCGCTAGCATCCTCTGTATTAATCACTCTTAACCTGCTTTGCTACCCTATCCATTGAAACTTGTATTTTTAGTTCTTATTTTAAAAACTGCAAAAAACAAACAAACACCTTTTCGTAAATATATCACTTAATTTCTAAGGTTTCCTAACATGAAGCTAACTACCAGCCAGATATGTGAGAGGAGGCTTAAAAATAGAAATCAGAGTTTCCCTGTGATAAATCTTGTCAGTGCTTGTACCTCGTAAACGCGCTGCTCACTGTCACACCATCACACGTTATTTTCAGATGTGTTAATTGGGAAAAGAGTCTGGCATATGCATTAATGTGAATAAGAAGCAGAAGCAGTGAAGTTTTTATAATCTTAGTAGTAGCTCAAACTTGATTGTAGATTCCACACATTTTAGCACAGACCGATTAAGAAATGCAACAATTATTCCAAATCAGTGTGCACATGGGCGCTGGGATACAGTAATGCTGTAGGTGATTAGTGATTAATGATGAATCATCCAGACATGATTCAGAAAGGCTTCCGCGTTTCAGCCACGATCCATATGTGAAGTTCCTTTGGTGTTACATGTTGGATCCGCTTTGACTGTGCTGCTCATTATAAACCCTTAACCAAAGCTGCTTTTATCCATGATCGGTTTCCTGAAATAGATGTCTCTTAGTTTTCGTTTGGTTCCTATTCTTTCATGTTTGTTCTAACAGCAGTTGTGCTTTTTGTTACCCATATAGTATAATTTTATCACCAAACCTCTTAACTGCCAATATACAGATCCCTGTGTGTTCCATCTGTGACTGTAGTGTTGAATCTAAAAGGTTCATTAAAGTTGATGATGTGCAGTGCTAATATAGGAACACAATATATTTGTTTGTAGGACAATGTGGACCTTGGAGAGCTGATGTTCTCACTGTGCTATCTCCCGACGGCTGGCAGGCTTACCATCACAATTATCAAAGCCAGAAACCTCAAAGCCATGGACATCACTGGAGCCTCAGGTGGGTGCCGATCAACAGTACAGTGTGTCCAATAAGAGGTGGTGTAGGAAGATGAGGTATGCATGCATTAGTGTGTGTATATCTGTTTAATTATTTCTTCAGTCTTAACACCTTTTCTCTTCTCAGATCCATATGTGAAAGTGTCTCTGATGTGTGATGGTCGAAGGCTAAAGAAGAGAAAGACATCGACTAAGCGTAACACTCTGAATCCAGTGTACAATGAGGCCATTGTGTTTGATGTTCCTCCTGAGAGCATTGACCAGATCAGCCTGCTAATAGCTGTCATGGACTATGATCGGTGAGTTACTTCTGTACATTTAGCACTCTCATGTGACATGCCGGCACATTTTAGAACATTTTAGAGTCTCTGTGGGTGCTGTTTTTTCTGTCCTCCAGGGTTGGGCATAATGAAGTGATCGGGGTATGCAGGGTAGGCAGTGAGGCCGAGAGTCTTGGGCGAGACCACTGGAGTGAGATGCTGACGTACCCACGGAAGCCAATCGCACACTGGCACCCGCTCGTAGAGGTATGGTCTGCTTTGTGTACTAGGTGTTTTAAATTGAAGATACACTTGATAAAAGTCTTGTAAAATAAAGCAAAATTGTAATGACATCTCTTAACATAGCACTAGACATAATTTAAAAACCACAAAGTCCTTAATGAGGTGGTGGATGAAAGGTTGAACAACCATAAGTCATTTTTCAGTTGGTCCTGAGGGGAGTAGAAAGGTGTCCATCAAATTTTATGACCATCAATCGAATTCTTTATCATAAATGGTTACAATGTAGAGACATCTAACTGTTAAAAGAAAATATCAAGGCTCAGTGTGGCTCAATCTACAATAATTTAGATATACAATGACAGCTATGTATAGGAGAGAAGGCACTGGACTGTTTGAACCAGATTGATGTTTCACAATCGTGTGGAGTGAGAGGTTCCCTAAAAAGTGGAGGTGAAGTGTGCTGTTTTAAGAGCAACAGCCATGTGCAGAGTAACTGCAGCAGGATGAGGCACACCATGGGTATGGGGTATGGTGTTGAGGCAAAAGTATAGAGAAGGTCAGCCGTTGCACTGTTTTTGTGGATCTACAGAAAGCATATGATAAGATGCCGAGAGAGGAAATGTGATACTGCTTTAAGAAGTCGGGAGTTGCATAGAAGTACTGCATGTGAGGGTGGTGCAGGAAATGTATGAGGACAGCAGAACAGTGGTGAGGTGTGCGGTAGGAGTGACAGTTGTTTTTTTTTGAAACAAAAAAGTGAAGATAAACTGAGGAGAGGTTGTGAAGGTAGCGTAGTTAAAATACCCGGGGTCAGCCATTCAATAAAACGGATAATGTGCAAGAGAGATGAAGTAAAGAATGCAGGCAGGTTGGAGTTGGTGAAGATGAGTGTTATCTCCACCAACTCCAACAGATTTGTGAGAAAAGGATAAGAGCCAGATTGAAAGGGAAGGTTTGTATGATGGAAGTGAGCCCGAGATGGTTTGGGCAAGTGCAGAGGAGGGATAGCAGATATATTACTCAAGCGCTGTTGAAGATGGACCTACCAGGCATTTGGAAAGAGGTAAACCACAGAGAAGATTCATGGATGTGACAAATGTGGACATAAAAATAAGAATGCTAAGGACAGTGTGAGATGGAGGTAAATGATCTGTTATGGCAACCACTAAAGAAAGCAGCCAGAAGAAGGTTTATACTGTATAATGAGAAACACACATATAAAGATTTCCCCCATACTTCTGATGCAAGATATAAAAGTTAAGTAGTCACCACCATCATTAAGATCTATCCTCTGGGTACCAATCATTTCTGAACCAAAGAAATGGATAGTCTATATCTGATATGCATTCAGATATTTTACTGAAGAGAGTTTTATGTATTTAGGGATTAAAAGTGAGGGAATCAGCAGAGTCAAAGGGATTCATACTCTGGTCCAGAATTTAATATTTAGCTTCTGGATGAATTGACATCAAACAAATGCCATTTGAGCAGGAAAGCTGTGGATCAACAAGCACGCTTTTGCCATAGAAAACAATCAATTTAGTATATCAATATTAAGGCTTCTAAGTGGCCATTCACTACTAATGTCTCTATTAGCTTTGATTTCAAATATGGCATGACTGCTCATCTCTGACTCACCATAATATACTGCCCATAAAAGATGGTTTGTACACTCTATCTGGCAAGCAGTAGCAATGGAGGGGTTGGAATGGCCTGTATTTGGTAAATGGCCTGTATTTGCATAGCGCTTTACTTAGTCCCTAAGGACCCCAAAGCGCTTTACACTACATTCAGTCATTCACCCATTCACACACACATTCACACACTGGTGATGGCAGCTACATTGTAGCCACAGCTGCCCTGGGGCGCACTGACAGAGGCGAGGCTGCCGGACACTGGCGCCACCGGGCCCTCTGACCACCACCAGTAGGGTTGGAGAGCTAAGCTATCAGCTAGTATTTGCTAGCTTGGTTAACAAGATCCATAAACTTTGTGAACATATCACACAGACAGTCAAGTGCTAGCATTTTTAGTACAAATGACATGAAGTGACATAATTTGCAGAAAATTTTCATTCAGAAGGCAACAAAAAGACATTGTGCTCGATATGTTTATGCTTAGTACACAGCCTGTCTTGGCACTATGAATTGCATATAAAATATAGACATATATTTTATGAAATTATATTAAAACCCATTGGTTTGTGAATGCCCATTAAAAACCATATAGTACAGCATTTTCGTCATTGCCTTCCTGGTGTAGATCTGACTGAAACTGTACACATATTGGGATTATATCCTAATATATTATTGTGGCAATGTCTTTTATACCATCTATGAAACTAGCTAAATTGATGTCACAAAGTAAAATAGCCAAGGGAAATTTCCTACACACTTATAAAACTAGAAGTCTTTTTGTAACCACAGGGTTTGTAACCATAGATTATGTCTGGCAGACACCAGGCTCTAAAAATGTTTATGTTTGCTACAAAGTTTTAGCAGCCAGCCTCAAGTGGCTAATTTGGATGTTCTGCCCCTCCATCCCTTTATAGTCACTCTGATCTAATCATGTAAAGACAATGCTTAAGCCAGATATACTTGTGTAATGCTCAAGTAACCATATATACAGAGATCCATTGAGTTACAGTAGTCTGAGGCAGTCCCAAACAACTGCTTTTAAATGCTTCTCTTACCTAAAAACAGTTCTGTGTCAGAATAGCGCACTATTAAAATAAAAAGAAAACTTATTTTAAATAAGCTTCACATTCCGTGTTAAATTTTTTGTATAGTTCATTGAAGATTTAGTGAATGAAAAAGAAATAAAACAAGTACTCCACCACCCCTGTGTATGCTCGACTTGTTTTGTTGGGATTGCCACAGCAGAGGCGCCTAGCTATCAGAGAAAGGGAGGGAGACATACAGAGAGGTGGCTACATTCGGTGAGATGCTTCTATTTCTGAATTCCCAGCCCACACTCATTAAAAAAAAAACAGAGCAAGCTAAAACAGATGCTGGACTGATTCATGTGAATTCATGATGAGTTGTCAAAGCCAAACATTTTGGTATTCAGCTAAAGGGGGTCACAAGATAAAAACACCTCAAAATGGAAAGCTGTCCTGGCAAATGTAATGATTGGCATCAGCCATGGCGTGCATTAGCAACTGCCAGCTTCATGTGCCCTGTCACTTATTTGCACAATTTAAAGAAGGACTTTGACTGAAATTAGATAACTTTAGCACCTTATAGTGATTAGCAGCTAGCTAAAGGCTAACTTGCTAGCTATTGACACTGGATTTAGCTATCTGTGGATTTTTTTAACACAGGAAGTAGAATGGTCACTATGAAATCAGAAGCCTGGAAATTTACATGGTAACCAATAATAACCATTTCAAAGAATTAGAGTTTTTAATAACATTCATTTGTTACGTCATAGCCGTCTGACTTTTCCTACGATATTGTCAATTTAAACAGACTTTTATATGATACCTTTAATCATTTTGGTGTTTGATGCCAAGAGTATTAATATAAATTTTAAATGAAACAAAGATGTTTATAATAACTTAATATTTCCCTAGAAAGGGCCTCTGGATGATAAAATATCCTATTCACTAATATTATGTTTATTAACTGGTTGCTTACCTTACACATTTCAATGACTTTAAAACTATTGGTATATATACATTTTGAATTTTTACATAAATTATTTATTAGCATTAAAGAACAAAATGCACATCAATTTAGTGCTTGCCCCTTAATGAATTCCTATTATTTTCTTTTTCTCATTTATAATTCAAGATCATCAAACAAATTTTAATTTTAGACAAAGATGACCAACGCGAATACACAATGCAGTTTTTAAAACATGATTTCATTTGTTAAGCTGCCTGTCAAAGTGAAAGAGGCTAAACAGGTCAAAATGCACTACATCATGCTTCAACAGACTACATGACAGTTATAGACCTGCAGCATATTTTGTTGTGGTTTATATACAATGCAAACAAATTGTCATAAAAAAAAATAAACACAAGAATCTATTTTGGTAAGTACAAATACTTTTGATTTAGGACAGCTGGGCTCCTTATATGGTGTGGTAGTCTTATGCTTTAGTTTAACACTGTGTATTTTATGGAGGTGAGTTTTGAACTTTGAAAAGTACTAATAATATACGCTACTCATTCATGTCCCTTTAAAAAACATCAGTGTATTGTTTTTAGTTTTATCTGCTATGTACACCGATTTCTTGGGATTCTTAGAATAAATCTCTAAATTCTTTTCGATTTATTATTTTCTGTTACTCCTGAAAGGCTCAGCAGCGACTTTTTTAAGGTCAAAAAACATTTTTGTATCAACACTTTGTCTTTGTGTTATTGTCAATTAAACGTAGGCTTCAGATGAGTAGAAATTCATTGCATTCTGTTTTTCTTATCAATCATTTTTGAAGCTCTGATGCTTTAATTTTAGTTTTTCTATCTCATAATCTGCCTGTGAATGGTTTGCTGCCTCTAAGTTTGAGTGTGTATATTTTAAAATTAAACAAAATTCAACTGCTTTTTATTCCAGCCTTTGAAAATAACATGCAGGTTGTTAAGTTTCTTTTTACACCACAGTGTCAGTCCCCACTTCTCCAAGTTAACAGCTACGTGTTGTACTAAGAACCACATAAAGCCAAAAAGGAAGCCATCCTAAAATAAAGTAAATGAAGCACTAGCTGTCACGCTGTGTACTTTCAGTATTGGTGAGAGGTCAGTGACCCTGATATTTCCAACAGTGTTGAGGCCAGAGGAGCTCTTTCACTGTCTCTGAGGCCATTTGTGTAGCACTAACACACCCGTCCACACAAACAATGGGCTGTGTCAAACACTCACCAGTAGCATTTCTTGTCTAAGGCCATTAGCAGCAGCTCTGGACTAGAGCAGCAGAGTCTGAGATCTCATCTAATGGCTTATTTGTGTAGAGATCCGCACAGAAGACCTAAGGGAAACTGGCTCGGGGGATATTTCACATCCTTGCACACAGTTATACACACATATGTAGCTGAAGCCTATGCATAATATGTAAGCGATGAGTATTCACACATTCGCACAAAATATATGTTTCAACAAATAAAACTAAACATATCTGACAAGTTGGCTTTCACACTCACACACATGCACACACACGTGGCTTTCACACACACAGACATGTGCATGCGTGTTTTTCTGACACACACAAACACTTGCTGGTTTCCTGTCCACTTTAGTTTACGGCTTTTCGAAAGTGTTGGACTGACCCGCTGACCACTGAGAGCATTAATAATTCAGCAGCTTGAGCTCTTCGGCCCAGACTGTAAACTCTCTCTCTCTCTCTCTCTCTC